CCCCATCTCTCACTCCCATTTCGTTCAACCAATCCAAAGGCTTTTTCACGCAGAATCAAAATGGAAGGCAAAATTGCACAAGACAAAATTACTGGCACCAATGGAGTTTCCACCATTCCTCTTCTTACTCCCTACAAAATGGGCAACTTCAATCTTTCTCATAGGTAAGCTACGGCTACACTACCTTGTTAAATTTCTTTTCTTTCAATGATAGCTTTTTATGATGCAAAAAGCAAAATTTTGGTGCTTGTTTGTAACTAACTTTCTTTTTTCTTTTTTTTTTTGGGGGGGTTTCAGAATTGTGCTTGCACCATTGACCAGACAGAGATCTTACGGTAATGTTCCTCAGCCACATGCTATCTTATACTATTCCCAGAGAACCTCCAAGGGGGGCCTTCTTATAGCTGAAGCTACTGGAGTTTCTGACACTGCTCAAGGGTATGGCTAACTTATATAACTTTACAAGGACAATACAAAAGTATTTTGACAAAAACATTAATTGGTTTCTTTCCATGGGTGAAGGTATCCAGAAACACCGGGTATTTGGACAAAAGAGCAGGTTCAGGCATGGAAACCTATCGTTGATGCTGTTCATGCCAAAGGTGGGATCTTCTTCTGTCAGATTTGGCATGTGGGGAGGGTCTCAAATACAAGTGAGTGCTTTTCCCAGACATTATATATCCATTAATTTGTCTCTGAACTATAATTTCGATGATTGGTAGTGGTGAGACTACTGCTTTTTTTTAGATTTTACATAATTGGAATTAGTCAATGGTGGTGAGATCTGCGTTTTTTTTTTTTTTAATTAATGTTGATCCTTACTTGTTAATGTAGTGATAAATCAAGCTTAGTTTTCAGAAGAAAGGCCTAGTAAAAGTTGAATAGATAGTATTTTGCCATACAATATTTCTTGCTGTTAATTGTTTTCTAGATGAAGGCAAGACAAGAGGTATAGATGGTCTCTATGGGCTGTTCAAAAATAAAAAAGATGGTCTATATGTAATGCTTTTATTTAAGGGCAAATTGCACTTAACTTTGACAGGTTGTTGCAGTTAACCCTCAAATTAGAAAAGAGTTTTATTTACTCCATGTGGTTTAAGAAATGTGCAATTAACCCTCCAAGCAATTAAATATTGAGGGTGAAATGTCAATTTTTTGTTGCATATGGGTGTAAATGTACTTTTGTGGTTTGGAAGTCAAGTGCACCTACCAAGCCCACATTGGGGTTAAGTGCAAATTACACGTTATTTAATTCAGAAATATAGGATTTTAATGCAGCCGGCCACCAGTAAGTCATCAATTGTGGTTTCTGTGACACCAAATTGGAGATGTATCTTTCCTTGCTTCATACAGTTACAAGTGAGAATGAACTTACATGGAATGAAAAAGGAAAGAAGTACCTTTAAAGGTCTCATTCTATAGCTATAAATAAATTTTAGTATGCGAGTGTGGAAGGCACCAGTAAAATGAAGGGCCTGAAGGGGTTGAGGTAACTGATACATTCTACTGATCTTCCAGTGAAATTAATTTAACAAGGAATATTATCGGTTTAGCAAAAAGGGAATAACATTCAACAAGAAACAAGCTATGCAAGAGCAAAGATGTGTTAACAACTATATGAAGGATCTAGCAGGCATGTTCCAGATCTTGATCAATTGAGAAGTAGCTTTATCTAGTATATATAATGAGGTAATGAATCAAAAAGAAATATTTTTGTTTACAAGAAATAAGCTATGGAATTTGCCTTAGGATGACTTAGCAACTATG